ATCGCCCTGGTCATCATCTACTCCATATCAAAGGATGGTCCTATGCGCCTCACGCCAGAACTGGGGTCAAAGAATACTCCATCTGCCCCTGGCTACCTTGCTGGCTCCAAAGCATTAGATTCGTTAGCCCAGTTTATAACTTCCAAAGAGCTCCTCTTTCATCCGTCCCAAAACTCGGCCATCACCCGTCAGGTAGGATTCCAATGCTCACGTGATGTCTAAACTCAAGCACTGGCAGCTCACTGCATTGACGGAATCACTCTCTCGACGCTTTGTCTACCGATGGACAGAAGAAGCTTCCGACACTTGCAAAACGCCACAGGTAGCTGTCAGATTTTCAGTCACGTGAGGGCTGGCTGAACCAAGTTGACAGAGCAAACGCTTGACCAAAGAGATGAAGAAGGCATTCGTCGAGCTTCTTTGTACCCCAGTACTAATGTCCATCTTTTCTAAAGATGGAGACACCGCAGCTCGATCAAGAGCCACTTTGCGCAGCTTGGCCTATCTCGAGCCGGGTGTGATCATGCCGCCATTCCTGGAACGAGCATATAATGGACTAGAAGCCATCAACGAGACGCATAGGACGACGGCAGTTTTGCATGCCATGGCTGAAGTAGCTTTACCTCTTGTGTCAGAGGATGTCTGGTTCGGGGGACAAAAGCATATACTTCCCTTGTTAGAATTATGTCTCCCTGGAATCGACCTGGTATGTCTGCTGATTTGGCCTTACACGCCCAAATACTTAGTGCCTTGACAGAACGATCCGGTCAAGACCGTCGCCACAGCATCTTTTCTCACCAATATCCTAATGACAGTGCCCATCGTTAACCTGGTGGGAAAAGACGAAATCATTGACGTGCCAATGTCACCTTTATTGGATCGGGATGGAGAGTTGGCCGTCGGCGCAAGCGAAGACCGAGAAGCTGAAAGGACGATGGTGGTGGAAAGTACCTCGCTTTTCGAAGGTAATTTGCCCCATTTATGATGGTAGCTAGTCTAAAGCATTGGTAGACTGGGTGATGGCATTCTTCGATAGGTGTCTCACCTTATATGAAGCTCTTCCTGAAGAAGGTGGCCGCTCAAAACGTACCGGAGGCAAGCAGGAAGAAGCGATGCTCAGTGGATTACGCGAAGCGAC